TTAATTAGAGGTAAGTGATAAGTAGATGACACTTTTGGTTCTACAGCGTGTTATTTGTGGTGGTCAGCAGTGCAGAGAAAAAGCCTCTGAGGTTTAAAGGTTCCAAACTGTAAAACATGAGATGTCCATGTCTTTTTTGGATTATAAAGCAGGTCTAGGTGCTGTATTAATACTGTGAAAGTATCAAAGTGCTCAGTCTCACAGAGAAATGCACACAGCCTATATTCAGAAACTGTGTCTTAAAACAAGCCATCTGGACTTCTTTGTGATGTCACAACAAAAAAGTCAGTACCCTCAGCCATGCCCCCAGCACTGCCCCTGGATCCAGTATTCAACCTTGCAGGATTTGATTTCTCCAAGTGTTTACCTGAAATCTGCTATATTTGTATTCAATCACTCAGAAAACAGTCAGCCAATCAGAAGGGAGGTTCAGAGCCTCTCTTCTGATGGGTTGAATGACCTGTGGTTGCCAGAGCTTTAGAGAGGAGCCTGAGAGAGAAGATATAAAATTGCATTGAGATGGTTTTCGGCTCTTAAAACCACAAATACATCTTCTTATGGATATCAACATTTAGCACCAGAAAAGTGTAAAATATGGGCCCTTTAATTATGTCAGAATATTTTGAGCCCATTTGTATAAAGGGACTGATTCTGTCAGAAGCATCAGTTTTCTATTAGTATCTACTGGGAGCCTTGAAGTAATCAAATCTTCCCGTTAAGAGGTCTACATGTTGTGGTACAGCCCATGTATAGTATAGTAGTATATGCGATGCCTACAGCAGAAGACAGAGCACAGGGGAAATATTAGTGCACTTCAGTCTCACTAAAGGGTAAATCCCAATTTTTCACACTAGAAAGATCAGTGTTTGCACTGTGCTGATCTCTGGCACATCATCACATCCCTGGACAGGACACACAGTGAGACACTGCAGTGTTTAGTGCAATCCAGAGGGATTTGTGTCTGCAGAGTTTAAAAGGTAATTTCTACTTGTCTCTGATAACCGCTCAAGTCTGACATAGTTTTACATGAGATGCACTGCTTCACAACCATAATATCAAACCTGACTATACAGTATACAGACTATGAATAAATACCAGCAGTATGTTGACTATAATCTCTGATGATAACACTTAAGTTTTTGCTGTTGCTTTTATGTGACAAAAATACATTGATTTGAATTTGATGAATTTGAGAAAAACGTTTAACAGTTTCACAAGAAAAATATGCTTCATATTTTGTGGGCAAAAATGTTATGTTGTCATGTGGAAACACTTTATAGATGCTGGTGATTTTGTTCCTCATTTTTCTTAATTTGCTATTTAGGTCAAATATAAAAGGAACATTTTCACTGTGGTTTCATCAGTCATGCAGTAAGGTGTTAATCTTTCAGGCTATTACAGCCTCATCAAAGAAATCGTCTGTGAAGCAGTGAACGTTTTTCAAAGGCTGGTCAGGATCAAAAGATCATGGGAAGACTACAACACTGTCTGCACTAACTCTTGTGAAATCACTTTTATCAATGAAATATCCGTCTGGGATCTTGGGTGAATCATTGAAAGTACATCTGCCAAATCTCTTACTATCATGGTCCGACTTACTTATTCATTCAAATATAGCTCCCATAGACTATCATGTGAAAGCAAGGTTTTTACTGTCATGTTGTGGCGATGGTTCGTTGTTTTTGGAAACATCACTGCCGGTGTCAGTACATGCTCTTATTATGACAATCCAGTTTTCAAGTTTTACTTTAAAGCTACACTACACACAATGTTACCATGAAACATAAAACACCGCCTCAACATTGGTTGCTCAACATTGGTTGCTCAACATAAATTAATGTATTATTATGTCTATTCAAAATCCATATATTGTAACTTATTACCCTGATTGTCTTGTCCTCAGAGCTGTCATCATACAAAGTTTCCTTCATGTCAATCAAACTTTAAACCATATGTTAAAAGTTGCAGTACAACCAACACCCTGAGGCTGGTTTCTCAGAGAAGGTATAAACTGAACCAGACGGTGTACAGACACGAATGCTGGCCTAAAGCTGCTCATAAAAGCTGGACCTGGTTGGAAATACTCATAATTTGATGGAAATGGAGATAAAACACATCCAGGGAGGAGCTAAATGTAAGATCTTACGACCATTGTACGTATGGGTCTTGAAGAAATTCAGGACACCAGTCTTTGAATCAGCACATCAGTCTAAAGTCTCAGTCCCTACAGACCTTCATCAGAGGTGAAACAAACAGGATCGAAACCATTTATAACTTCAATCCCCCCTTCACACAGCTGATTTACTGGACTGGATTGAGAAGTGTGAGATACCAATCAGGAGATGAAAAGAAACAAAGCACAGGATAAAATCCTCACACACACGCACACACACACACAAATACATACATATGTATGTAATTATATATTGCTTCAGCTTTTGCTTTAACACCTGTAACTCACTGAATTTTTGAACTAGAAATCTCCAACTTTTATACAAAGTATCCACATTTGTTTACTCCAAATGGCACCAATTCAAACATCTGCAAGAATATCAAAGACCTGGTGGGTGAGTTCATGTCAAATACATGGTGTTCCTTTGTTACAACCTACCCCAGTAGCACATGCTGGGGTAAACTGTAACAATTAGACAGAAGAAGCAAAAACAGAGGCCACAACATGGCATATGCTTCAAAAAGAGGTTTACTGAAACAAAAGAACAATCCAGAACAATGTCTCTGTAAATCAGTCAGGCCCTGCCATCTGCTTCTTGTTCCATATCAAGTTGAGTTCCCTTGTGGTTTTGTGGTAAAATATTACAAAACAAAGGAAGAAGAAGGAGAAGAAGTACGCTCCACAAGCTCAACATACTATATTGTTATTTTCCAATGTTAGTTTAATATCAGCTCTCAATTATGTCTTTATATTGCATATATTCTGACTATGCGGGTGATGTTCTACGATTGACGTCATGGTGACGTTGCATGTCGAATGTGCGAAATATGATTTCACATAATGACAATCAAGTCTGAAATGCTCAATATGTGTGGAGCATCCAGGCTTCAGCAGGGATGGCAACCTTAATAAAATATAATGTCAGTAACATAATGACTGGCTACAGGTGAACTACAGCTGAATTATTTTATTTCCTGGCCATGTTCAGAATCCATGCAAGATTTCTGATTAATATTCAAATGTATGAGTCAGACTTGGTGTTGAACATACTCCATCTTCACAGGTATCATCGGGTATCATGATTAGAATGTGAAGAGGGTATAGATTATAATTAGGCTGGCACTCATGTGACATTTTCTAATCAGCACACTTGAATCTCAAGCTCCCACTCATCACTGGCCATTCAGACAGTGAGTGCAGAGTTACAGCATGTGACTATTCAGACACCAGTCAAACGCAGCTCACCGTGATGCTGAATTGAGGGGAGTGGAGGTCATCAAAGGCTAATCAGCACGTGTGCGCCCTGCAATCACATCCCCATTCACTAAACTTATTCTCCAGCAGGTTTGCACATTTCAAGTAAGGCCTTATTGCCGCCTGTCAGAGGGGCTGATACCTGACATGTAGTAAATGATCTCAGGCAAATCACATGACATACAGTAATTAACATAACAAGAGTGTTTTACTTGGAAATTTATGGCAAATTCTCATCATTCTCTGTCTGATGATCTACACGTCATTTCATCTTTTCTTCTTCCCTGCCTTTTGCTGGTGCAGTGCTACTCATTTCTTTGCATGTTACCACATAGAAAGTTGGACAAGGTGGAGTGCAGCTACCTGATGTTTAATTTTTGCATTGCTGTGTTTCAAAAAAATAAACTATGGTCATCTTTATGCCTTATTTCCCAAATGTGTGATGCTAGGAGATGCTGTCAGATCTCCTAATGTGCTAGTGGAAGGAATTTGAGAATTTAGGAACTATTTAGTTTAGTATTTAGTAAAATAATATGCCTCTGCATACCCATTCATGGTTATTTATTTCTGTTTGTATTTTCAGATACTTTACATCCATATACTCTGTACATCTCTTGCATGTTAAAGGATGGTTGTAGCACTTTTCAAAGATTTGTCACAACCATGTGAATTTACCTGCAATAGCATAAGTACTAAACAAAATATAGTCTTGGGCAAAATTTTTTATTTCTTACTTCAAAATCAGTTTTTTCTCAATAGAATCTGAATGAGCCTGTTTCCAGCTTTGACAACCACCATGTGGAATTGGGGAGGAAGTGGGTAAACACTGAAATAATCATATGACAATATGACATATGGTGGTGTTACAACTCTCCCCATGTACAACCATACCCAACCTCCCCTACTTCAAACACACTTCTGAATACACACATATATACAGTATATATATATATATATATATATCCGCGCGCGCGTGTGTGTGTGTGTGTGTGTGTGTGTGTGTATATATACATCGAAATACTTCAACATGATAATCTACAAAGTTTAAAATATATATATTTAAGATAGAAAATCATAAACATATATTCTAATGTTACATATATTTCAACCAGGCTCTATGGAAAGCCTGCGCAACATTTGAACAAAGATCTGAATCAGTGAATTGATAACTGCATCAATAAAAACAATAAGTAAGCAATAGTTACAGAGCACATGCCTGTTGCATGTAGGTACTGGTTTCCTAATTGCCTATTTATTAATATTTGATCTGGTTTGACCTCATTAGATAACAGCTCATTAGAACAACAGCTGATATTTGATCGTGTTATTGGCTATTTGCTGATGCTCACATCATAACTGTGAGCCCATTCTTCATTTTCCTCCTGATCTGTCTCCTCCGGATGTTTCAGAAATCTACACGTCATCTCATCTTTATTACAGTAAGTCACAGGGTAAGGCACATAATCAACACATGACACGTGACTAACAGGCAGCCTTTTACTGCTGACCAATTGGGTAATGATTTTCTATGCCATCGTCCCATAGGTTCCACTTACTACTGACCATTATGAATTCATCACAACATTGATTTATGTGCAGTGCATTGCATATCATCTAGCAATTGCCTCCAACTGTGAAGCACCAGAGTGTCAATCACGTGCTGATCTCATGTGAGGATTGTCCCTCTCTGTGTCTTTAGCCAGGCTCTGCAGCAGAGACCTCTGGAAGGCCTCGTCACACGACTCAGGGACCAGAAACTCCAGCAGCAGGTCACAGATGCAGTAGATCAGATGCCTGCACATAATCATACAAACAGGGTCAATGACAGACTGACATCAACTGTTATTAAAATAGGTGCTTAAATATGAAAAGTATTTCATACAGCAGATGTATTCATTTCCATCTTGAACATTAACATTTTATCTTTATTGTAGTGTATTATAGTATAGTTACAGTTAGAACCACAGTAAGTAGTGACACACTGCTCTCAGCTCTTGGTTTCACTGTTTGTTGCTATCTTAAAATAGCAGCATGAGACATATATTTACTCGACACTTTGGTTGTTGACTCACTTGTTTATCTGATGGTCCTGCAAAGACTCCAGCATGGTCTCCAAGCTCAGCCTGTACTTCTCACTGCCCAGCATGTCAGTGATGAGCTCTGTTCAAGTACACATAATGAAACAAACCAAGAAGTTCAAGATCATTTCAGGAGCATTGCGAATCAAAACAGCATTTTTTTTTTCATGCAATCAATCAGCTACAGTCTGAATCTAACAGATGTTACATACCGGGAAGCAGCTGCATTAGACAGTCCAGGCATTGCTCCTTAGTTTCCTCTCTTTCTGCAGCACTCCGCTCAGGTCTTGGTTGAACAGGTAGCGTGCCTCCTGGCCACACAGCTTCCTGCAGCACTTGTAGGTAAATCACCCAGCATGGGGCACTGGTAAGGTGGGCAACTCCTACGTCCAACCATCTGAGACAAAAGTCAGTAGTTTAGTGCAACAATGTCTGCTTATAAAAGCCCCTGCATATAAGAAACAAATGAAAATAACTGCATATTCATGCAAACATGCTAATTGATTAGGACAGAGTGAAAGATGTGCACACAAGGGGATGAAACATAAACATGAACATTATTTACTGACATGCTTCGTGAACCATAAAACTCCCAGAGGCATATGTCAAGTCCAAAAATGGAGGCCAGTATAATCAGTTAATGACCGCAGAACACTAGAGATTAGACAAGCACAGTTCCCACAGACTGTGTGGCGAAGCAAAGCCAGTGGTAATTCTAGAGAAGTTTTTGTTTAAAGTTGTGTTCATAGTAAAACATAAACATTTGAGGAAAAGAAAAATCATTTTTTGAAAGGCAATCTGAGAGAATCTCATGCAGCCATCATTTGCTGCAAACCATTTAGTACCTCATGAAGCTGCCCCTAATACTAGAAGGACCCAGCGTCTGGATGTTCAGCTGTATGAAGGAAAAATAATTGAGTGCCACAATATCACCTGCCAGTAAAACTCAAGTCTGAAGTCACACTACTTCTATACTTCTATACTTCTACTTCTACTATACTTTCATATATAAGTAGTATCAGTTGCAATTTATGTGTAACTGTGTCTCTATTATAACGGATTAATGTTTTTAGTTAACCTGAACACTGAGGCACATTTGTGTTTTAAAGGAATAGTTTGGGAAATACATTTATGCACACTTAAACATATATAAATAAATGTATTAGCCCCATGTACTAACTCTTATCATCACACAGTCATTTACATGTTACAGCTGCAGTAAGAAAATACTTGCTACACAGAAGACGGAAGAAACAGCGACCTCTCAATGAAGGTGCCAAAGAGCAGTCTGATGGTCTTCTGAATATTCTCAGTGCACAGCCAACTCCACTGGTCCTTCATCAGCAGACACAAGATGTTCAAAGCAACATCTGCAACAGCTGTGTCTGCAGTACACATAAAAAAAAAACATCAACAATAAATGAATAACACAATAATGGGAACAGAGGGATGCCTCAAAAAACACATGAAATACAGGTCCATCAATGCTGGAGAGTGACTACTAGGACTCCTCAGCTTGTGCTTTAACAAACAGTGGAGTTATGCTGCACCCAAGTGGTGATGCTATGTAACTGTATGTTCCGTCTCTAGAGCCGCAAGGAATGCAACACAGGATAAAACTAACTGAGACATGAGTGTTGTGTAAATCTTAACCTGTCCCGTGAGTTTTCCCTGAAGCCTTCTTGTCTTTGTCACGCTGCTCACAGCTCCGCTTGGCCGTCTCTTTCCCATTCTGCGCACATAAGAGGCTCTCTTGCTCTTTGACGAAGCTCTCCAGGCCAGACAGAGACATACCATTGAGGACCTAAACAGTCACAATGAGCAAAGTGAAAATGTCAACTGTGCCCATTTCAAAAACAATCAATCAATCAGAGAAGATAAACACTGTAACTGGTGTAACCCAGTAACTTACAGAGCTGCCTTCACTGAAGCAGTATGTCACCTTAGGATGTAGGTCAGGTATATTGAGAGATGGGGAAATTTTGCTTGGGAACATAAGCCTCCTGATGCATGAAACACAAAACCAGAAGTCTCCACGTACAATCAAAAAACAAACCAGAGCACCAGAACAACCTGCACTGATTCACACTGTACTGAACTGACTGTTTAATCATAAGAGACACAGAAGTATGATCAGGGGCCTGTGTGTTGGGAGCCCCCAAGTGATCTCAAACCAAATCTAAGGGGTCATGAGATCATTAAAGGAATAAAACAAAAGGACAAACATTCCTGCTGCACAAAATTTTATTTATTTTTGGCAAATGTCTTTCTATTTATTAATTTTCTTTTTAAATCTTGGATCATTTTCCCTCCTTTTAGTTGTACTTGATGAATCAGTCTAAGAAGGGAAAATTGCTCTTTGGTTGAAATGTACACTGCTCATATACAAATGCAAACTGTGATGAGTTGGTCACATGTGGACACTGCTTCGTTATTGAGGGGCCACAGGACAAACATTTTGGTCACCTCTGCATTGGGCTGATATAGAGCCCTCACCTGTACTTCCTGTTGTCCATCGTTCTTCCATCAACATCTCCCTCAAGGTCCTCTGTTGGACTGAGGGGCTCAGGATGAGGGAAAGCTGTCTTCAATGTGTCTAATGCATTTTCCATCATCTTTGTTGACAAGAATTGGAGAAGACAAAAGATAATTAAATCGTCCTTATTGAAAAAAATACCAAACACCCAATATTTTCCACAGTGTTAATCAGTGAGCTTTATGCTAAGATAAGCTAAATGGCTGCTTGCTTCAGCTCCATATTTAGTGTATAGACAAGATAGCGGTACCAGTTTTCTAATCTAACACTCAGCAAGAAAGCAAATAAGTGTACTTCCCAAGATTTGATTAGTTTTATCTGGATTATGTAAATTTTTCTCTCATGTTATCAAAGAAGTGCTTAAAAATTACATTAAAACTTTCTCACAATCATACTACATGGTCTTCATAAGAGCTACATTATGCAGATGTTTTCTCACCTTATCAATTCTTGACTTGACAAAAGGCTTTCTTCCAAAATATGTGCAAACCTCTGTGTTGACAGACAGGAACTCCTGCAAGTCCTCACTGTTGGCCGTCTCAGGAATGCTGCTTAATTGCTAGAAAAATCAATAAAATTACAGGAGCACACTAAACATAAGCGATCGTACAGAGTGAAGCTACGATCCTAAAACCTACTTTAAGAAACGTATCCAGTTGGCTTTTACGAGCTTCAACTCGCTCGCTGTCTGCGTTGCCAAATGGAAGATCAGGAAACATTTTCTTCGGGCCTTTGACATCTGAAATGTAGAACGTTGAATTTTTCAATAACGTGTCTGTCTTGATAAGTTCAATTGTCTTTTAAAAGAAAGGATCATTTCTTACTCTTGATTAATTTCTTAACTTCAGGCTTCTCCTCTAAACGTGTCTGCAGGTTGAGGAACTCGCTGTATCTCCGGTTGACGGCGTGACAGGCCGCAGATTGCAGAGAGGCAGTGTTTTCTGCTTCAGCCACTGTCTCAAACTGTAAAACAGAAAGTGGAGGGCAACGTGTGATGATCGATAAAACAGATTCAAACATAAAAGGCAGTAGGAGGTGGCGTTACCTTTACAGTGTAGAGAGTATAGGGGTGTGTGCCAGTGCCACGCTGCTCCTTTGCAGTGACAGTACCAGAAATTTGCACATTCTGGATATGCACAGGTGAAGATTGGTTGCTGGAAGTATCAAAGTTGTAGGATGTTAGACAAAGTCTTCTCTGAGAACAAGATGGGGATTTCTCTTGTGCTATACCTGCAGGCCACTGGGAGTCCTCAGGCACAACAACTTTCGGCCCAAGATTTTTCAGAGGACCAAAGCAGCCGAAGACCTCATCGTCCTTTAAAGTGCTCCTGTTACAGAAGTTTGTTGGAGGACCACAGTCACAAAAGCCTCCTGTCAGGTCATCCTCCGAGTCTGATTGAATCAGGGAGTCCAATGAAATCCTTTTGGACTCTGACGACTGGGAGTAATGGCCAGATGTGAGTGAACAGCAGTTCACTTTGCATGGTGTGAGCAAACCTGGGTGGCAACTTTCTAACTTCTCCACAGACGTCAGGCTAACCATGCTGCTCTGTGAGGAGTCCCTGTCACTGGTCGGACTCTTGCTCTGCAGATCGTCGAAGTCAGAGGTGCTTTGGCTGGAGAGGCCTGCTTGTTCAGAGGACGACAGGGACCTGCAGGTGGTCCAGGACTCCTGCTGGATCTGACATCTGTACAGTGCAGCTGCCTGGTGCTCATTCACATTGATTTCTTGTGGTTCTCTGGACCTGGTGAATATGTCTACAATGGTCTGGTTCAGCCAGTCAGGATCAGACACCCTGCTTATGAGCGGCAACAGCACATTGCAGGTGATTAGTTCTGTAACCATGTAACCTCCAGTCCTGGTTTCCATCTGAGGGTATGGTACAAGCACATGTAAGACCAGGTTAACTAGAGCTCTTGAGCAGCTGAGCTCAGTGGCTGCACTACTCACAGCTCGGTGAGGGGCATCTACTTCACTGTACAGCTGCCACAGACTAATGCCCTCTCTCTGTGTTGACTGTATCTGTCTTGCTGTCATGTAGCTCTGCAGGTGACGGCCGTACAGCTCCAGCAGCCGTTGAACCAGTGCTTTTCTGTCCACCCGCCGCGCACGCTCCTTCAGCTCCATCACTGACTCCAACATTGAATTACGCACTGCACGTTCAAACTCCCCCTCCACCTCTGGAAGCAGAGTACGATACCATGAGGACACAAAGTCACGCACTGCTTTGTGGACGGCACTGTCGATCTCATGGTTCAACCTCCACTCATGTTCAGGTGAAAACAGAGGGGGATTAATTGGGCCAAGAGGCAAGAAATGTTCCAAGTGGAGAAGGCTGTTTGCATCCAGTACGGCACGGGACCCGAGCCAACCCCCGAGGACCACCAAAAGACTGGTGAAGATGCAGAGAAGCCAAACGTTCACAAGGAGATGGAAAAGGACAAGCCATGCCAGCAGAGCTCCGAGCCCTAAGAGTCGCCGCTGCCCAAATAACTCTGATAAAGTCCAGTGATTAGAGCTCTTTGAGGAAGGCATCACAGTCAGCAGGTGAAATGTGTCCTGTTCAAAAAATACATTGATACATAATGTTACATAACAAGCAATAGGAATAAGACATTGTTGCTTTGGATTGCTTTCATTAATTGCTTTATAAACCTAATATAAATAAATAATTCCCAAACAACAGTGCTTAAATCATCATATGACAAAGCCAATTGAAATTCTTGGGTGCAAAAACTTAGTTGCACAATGTTTCAGTATATTGATGAGATTTTCACTATTGTTCAGGGCTGTAAGTTAGAACTATTTTCACTATTAATAAATCTGGCTATTTTCTTGATTTACTGTTTAGTCATTTGGTTGGTAAAATGTTAGAAAAAGCAAAAAGACCAACTGTCTAAAGCTTTAAGATATTCAGTTTACAACAAAATAAACAAGCAAAAACAGCAATACTCACAATGGAAAAGGTGGAACCACAGAGTTTGCAGCTCTATTGTGGTTAAATACTTGCAGAGCTGATATTGCGTGTCTCTTCTATATATCACTTTGTATGTTTGAACTGAGACAATTAACCCATTTATTCCCCATTCCTCACTGTACAATACAAACAGTGATATGAAACTGAGACAGGTTTATTGGATGTGGGCAATGAGCTAACAACCACTCCAAAATTAATCAGTCTGTAATATTGCCAAGTACACAATAACTACTGAGGGCTTCTGAAAGAAGTAGTAAATCCACAGTTACAAATATTTCATATTTAAATTTTATTAAAGTCGAGGTATTAAATACACTCATTATGCAGAACAGCCCATTTCAGAATAAAGTACATTGTATTATTGGAATGTAATTATTGATGCATTCATATGTACATTAGTTTAATGTTGCAGCTAGTAAATCAAGTCAAGCTCAAGTCTTAATAACATAATAATAATACATCTTAACATGTATGTTGATTATATTTTTGTATCATTAATAACCAAAGTAACTAGTAGCTAAAGTTATCAGATAAATGCAGTGAAGTAAGACGTGGGCTGGGCTACGATAATTGCATCTGAAATATAGTGAAGTACATGAAGTAGCAGAAAATGAAAAAACACAAGTACAAGTACTTAAAATGATCAACCTGCTTCATTGTTTTTTTGCCACTTCGACTAAAGTTCAAGTGAAATGCCACTTGAAAAAGTGTTTACAAATCTAATGTACACCTACAGCCCTAAGATGAGGTCACAGATTGTGCTAATGTACACCTAGCATAGGTCCTCTGTAGCCTATGTTGTTCTGACATGGGACTGCATATATTAGGAATATTTATCCCCATTGTAAAGCCAGCAAGGAGACAGTAAAGCATACATTACCCAAAAGGTTGTTATTGGAGCTTTATAGCATGAAAACAAGCCATATGGGACGTCCTCCTCCTCTGGGACACTGCTTTAATCCTCCAGCAAAGATTATCTGGATCAGTCTGCCAGTCAAGCTAGATACACACAGCCCGTATGTAGAGTTAACTAGCTGTTAGGTGTGCACAAAGACAGACATCCCAACACTAAAACGTTAACACATGGAGTTTGTGGGGGAGAAAAAAAAGACCTAATCTTAAATCAATGAATAAATGCATACATACAAAACAAAACAAAAAAATACCGATATGATAGAATGATGATAGGCTACATGAATACTTGAATCTAAAAAAAGGTTCCCAAGGTGTAGCAGGTAATGATTGTCCAGATTTGATGTCATCATCATTGTCTTGTTTTCTGATTTTTTTGTCCATGTAGTGCTTGTACCTTCAGTTGAGGTACAGCAGAAGGTAGTAAGCTACTAATATCTTTGAAAATTGGTTGCATTACTTCTGCTTGGTTTGTCCAGCTGACCAGTCCTGCTTTAGAGTTAGCTCAAACTCTAACTCCTACATCATTAGAATAAACCCATCCCTATACAAACAGAAATATTAAATGAAGAAATTTGGTGATGAATAAAACTATGAATGTAGAAATACAGTAATAAACAAATCTAAATGTACAAATATGAAGAGAAATAAATAAAATAAATTATTATTATCATTAATTGTTGATGATTAATAATATTATAAGAAAGGAGGAAGAAAAAGAAGAATCTATTATGACAGCCTACTGCTCAGTTGTTACCAGACCCTGGTATAAGTGCCTGTTCTGTAGGGAAAGATTACATTTGTGCCACATTTCTTACACAACGCAACGGAAAAGTAAACAATTTTTTTCATCTGTTAGCCCGCCCCCTCTCTCTCTCGATCTCTCTATCTATCTATGTATCTCTATATTTCTCTCTTTTTCTCTTTCTCAAATTTTAATCAAAGTCTGTGCAGTGCATGTTTTATTGATCCCAAGTGTATTACCAAAGCATTAGCTACGATTTAATAATAAGATTATTATTATTATTACTCTCCTCTCTCTCTCTCTCTCTCTCTCTCTCTCTCTCTCTCTCTCTCCCTCTCTCTCTCCCTCTCTCTCCCTCCCTCCCTCCCTCCCGCTCTCTCTTTCTTTCTTCGGTCCATACTGTATTACATAACCGGGTTATATAACAGCGCTGCTGCGCGCAGCTCTAGTGGCGGTTTCATGCGCACTGGTGAGCGTTGACAGCCTGTGTTTTGTGGTACGCTTTTTACCAGCGATTACGGGCAAAGCTTGAAAGACTTGATTTCAAAATAAAAGCGACCTTCCCATTATCGTTTTCACATTCACTTAGTCAAATTAAAAACACAACGTAATATTGAATAAATATGAAATAACAATGATGATATTGAATTTCTAAATCAAAGCCCTCTAAAATGTCACAAAACAGGTAGTTTCCTTTTAGTATCAATCTGAAATCATAGGGAAAACTCCTCATTTGTAACATTTAAGAGGGCTTTAATTCAGAAATTCAACAATAGAATGTCCTGACATTTTGTGAGTGTCATCCTGAGGTTGTGTACTATCACTCTGAAGTGAAATGAGTCTGTGGAAACAGCTAGTTTCCTTTTAATTTGAAATCATAGGGAAAACTCCTCATTTATGACTTTTTGGAGAGCTTTAATTCAGAAATGCAATATCACCATTATTTAATATAATATTATTTCATTATTATGGTGTGTTTTTAATTTGGAAACGATAATGGGAAGGTCGCTTTTATTTTGAAATCAAGTCTTTCAAGCTCTTACCGTAATCGCTGGTAAAAAAGCGTACCACAAAACACAGATGCGGCTGGCTTGACCGTGTTTTACGAAGTGGAGGCTGGCCCTGCAGGAGCTGGACGCAGATGTAGATAGCAGGAGTTGTATCCATCCACGTTAGCCGCTGCCATGTCTCCTGTGAAGATCGAGAGTTCAGGTAAGCCCCCTCCTCCATTCTGAGGGTGTTTTACTGTACAGAGGAAACAGTTTGTCATTCACCTGCTCATGTCTAAAGCACTTACTGCGGGCAGCGAAGGGCACACTGTCAGAGCCATGTGCGCTTTAAAAGCACAATATACTGTAGCCTAAGCGCTGGAACTAGATTGTTCATGCATGTTTACTGTGTGGGTTGACTGCTGGTTGCGGTGGAGTTGACAGTGCGATGATGGGCGATGAAGCCTGATGTGTGATGGCAGTACAAACTGTTCTTTCAGCTCAACTCCTGCTGTGTGGTTTCAGGCTACATCTGTTTTGCACAGTGTCGCGGGAATTTCAGGAAACAGAGGACTGACAACAGGAGAGTGGTTTTTCCAGTTTATTCTGACACTTGCAAGTGGACGCCTCAGCCAACAACAAGAGTGTTACTGACCAATAGCGCGATGCATGTTTACTACAGACTGCTTTTATACACTCAATTGTCACGACACCTGTACATAAGTCATCACTCTTGACATGACTACCTTGTATGGAACTAAGCCAAGTTAAAAGTAGACATGAACAGAAAAATACGAATGCACATACAGCAGTGTAGGCGCCACAAGTTCTGTAGGGAGTTTTATGAGTAGAGTTTTATGACCCCCAAAGATAGTATGAGGAATGTGATGTATTTTTCTAATACACATAGGGACAAGACTGCAGTGATTATTTTGTTATTCAGCAACTATAATAAAGGGTTGCATTTGCAGGATTAAATACTGTTGAACTACAGTCACAACGCCATGAGTATCAGGCACAGCTTCCGGTACCGGAAGAGGTTGCTCCACGGATGGTTAATTACTTATACCTGAGTGTAAGTAACTGTGATATACAAGGCGTGGACACTGCATTATTCTTAAACAAAAATTATATCTTAGTTGACATGATGTAATTGGCTTTGTGTTGTGTTAAGAACTTAAACTTCCCTATCAGGCATGTTATAAGACATAAAGAAATACTATAAGTATTTTATATTATATGATATTTTATATGATATACAATATTTACAAAAAAAATAAAATAAAAATAAAAAAAGGTTAGGCTACCTTAAAAATTCTTATGTACTGCTTCCTCCTCATTGAAAACTCATTATTATGCTGATAATTAGTTGAAATTGGATTATCATATCAAACTAAACATTTCTGAGATAAAATATGTTCTTCTTGAGTAGATAAAGGCGTAACTAAAATGGATTGTAACTGTAATAACCATCTGTATATTTGTCCCTTTCCCTGAGAAATACTGTGTATTCGTTTAACACTCAGTATTTTTAAGAAAAACAACCACTCCCTGTCAGTAGTGCTGGGGTAAATGAGGTTAAGGGCGTCAGTCATTGGTAACAGTGGAGCTGACTGTTGACAATAATTTAAGTCAGATGCCTTTATACACACTGGACTCGTTTGGGAGCAGCCATCATTCATTCCAGTTCTATGTTTCAAATTATGGAGAGGGTTTAGTTGGTAAAACACTGCAGTGACATCAAACAGCACAGTTACTGTGACCCAGCTGCCAGTGTGCAGGATTTTTTTTTTTTTCAACTGAGGAACTGAACTTTAGCACAGTCAAACTTTTCCCCAAATGTAGGCTAGTGCTGCAACACGCTGCTTCAGAGCCAAGTGAAATAGTTGGAGATTTCAATTTTGATTGTGTTTGTTGGAGTCATCCACTTTTAGTCTAATCTTACTAATATACAAAGTATATTAATGCAAATTATTGTGTCCTCAATTGTTATCAGGTTCTGTTCCCAAATGTTTTTTGAATTAAAATTCATGTTGGTATCCATTCCCTCTAAACCATGATAGGATTGTTTTTTAAAATGTATCAGTTTGGCCCATTAGCAGCAAGTAAAGCTTAGAGAGGATTTTTTTGTTACCAGCAAATTTTTAAATAAATGTATGAACAAAGACCAGGTTGAAAGTTGCATTTGCTCACCATCTTGTACTTTTGAATGTATTAGACATGCAACTGTGTAGAAGTAATCTTTAAAAAATCTAATCATATCCAGCCTTTTTTATGTTAACACTCCCTGAGTAGAGGTTTATGATGATGCTGCTCTCAGCTCAAACCTTCCAAGAGATAAAAAAGTCTTTCCTCTTTTTGCTACAAGCCGCAGGGCCTCATCCAATTACCTCAGAAAAGCTGCTCAGCTCTAAGAAATATTCTTCAAATGTAAAACATAACACTGGGTGCAATGTTCAGAGTGCGGTTAAACAGAGGTATGGTAAAAACCTTTGATTGGAATTTTTAGGTTGCTGCCTGTTTTCTTATCAGACAAGAAAAAATTACCCTTTTCCAGAGCTGACCCTGGCTCAGCAGCCAAAAAATGAGCTACATCACCATAGACAGCCATCTCTCTAATGTCTGTCAAGGTAAAAGCAATTTGTGTATCATATACTGTGTATGTACATATTCCCCACAGATGATAACAAGCCTGTTGACAATGGCAAGGTCAAGGAATGCATCAACACACTACTGAAGGGGCTGGAGACAATTGCTCCTTTGGTGTGCTCTGTAGAAGAGACCCCTGAGCCAATCTCTACCGAAGTACAAGGTACCATTCCCTCCTGGATCAATGGCAACCTCCTCCGCAACGGCCCGGGGAAGTTTGAGTTTGGAAACACCCAGTGAGTTTGGAGACACCTCTATGTACTGCTGCACAGCACAAACAAAAACGTTTCCAAAGAGATGGGATTAAGCCTTAACGTGTGTTCTTCACCACTACAGCTACAACCACTGGTTCGATGGGATGGCTATGCTACACCGGTTCAAGATGGACAAAGGCCAGGTGACATACATGAGTCGGTTCCTGCACAGCGATGCCTACAAGAAGAACAGTGAAAGGAACCGCATTATGATGTCAGAATTCGGTACCCTCGCCATGCCCGACCCCTGCAAAAACTTCTTTCAACGCTTCCTTTCTCGCTTTGAGATGATGGGTGAGTAGGAAGAGGTGGAAGAAGTATAAATGGATAATGTCTGACAAAGATGAGGTCTCATGGCGATCATCAGTAGTTGGCTTGTCAACTCACTCTACATGAATGTTGTTTTGTTCTATGTCTGTCTTGATCTGAAGTATAAATAAAACAACAACAAGCAGACTTTGTGATGCAGTTTGACCAGATTGGTCATTTGAGAAGGAGCAGAAGAGCCAGGTCCAACTGGAGGGAGAAAAGAACACAGTGTTCAAACTTTGTTTTGTTAAATTAAGTCACAAGGCCAGGGGTGGAACTCAATATACACCAAGATTACATAACAACATGAGCTACAGGGGGGAACCAGAGAGGGAAGCCAGCATTTCCAACAACTTACTGTAACTACAAGCTTTAAATGATGAAGCAGAATGGTTTACACGATTTTCTCTAAAGGAAAAATGCTTTCAGTCATTTAAAGGGCCTCAGTAATCCTGTGTTTTTCTTTGTCACAGAGCCCACGGACAATGCAAGTGTGAGCTTTGTGAAATACAAAGGTGACTATTATGTCAGCACAGAGACAAACTTCATGCACAGAGTGAACCCAGAGAGTCTAGAAACATTGGAAAAGGTACAAACATGATCGTCATGGAGTAACAGATGTTAATATTAAAATCAGTTTCATTAATTACACGTTTATTCTTTCTTCTGTTAGTCCAGTTATATCAGTCATTCTCATCATATTTGTACTCTGACAGCGGCGTCAACACAAACTGATTCTTCTCATTCTCTGCTGTGTTTTGTAGGTGGACTGGAGCAAGTTCATTGCTGTAAATGGAGCCACTGCACACCCACACTACGACCCTGACGGTACCACCTACAATATGGGCAACTCCTATGGAAGCAAAGGTTTTGTCTCGTCACCCACAGGACCCTCATTATAGTTCCCTGCTGAATTATTCGTTTCTCACGCTCCGTTATGATAACAACTAAATTGTGATCATTGCATAGTCTGCCATCGCTTTGCTTGCATGTCATCTCAGAGCAAATGTGTATAAAAGGTGTTAAAAGATGCATTGTAATCTCGGCTATTTCAGGAGCCCTGTACAACATCATCAGAGTGCCTCCTGAGAGGACAGATGCCAAAGAAACCCTACAGGGGGCCAAAATACTCTGCTCAATTGTGCCTGCAAACAAGTCCCATCCCTCCTACTACCACAGCTTTGGTAAGCCAGCTCTCCTGGAAATCATTCACCATTAGAGGGGTCTGTTTCCTCAATCTGTTGCCCTCAACTACAAAGTCCAGTGATACTTTTCTCTTGCTTCCAGCCATGTCTGAGAACTACGTGGTGTTCATTGAGCAGCCGATTAAGATGGACCTGTTGAAGATAGTGACATGTAAGCTAAGGGGGAAGGCTTTGAGTGAGGGCATCTACTGGGATCCTAAGCAGGAAACTGTCTTCCATCTTGTCGACAAGCACACAGGCGAGGTGGGTGACTGTGGCGTTTAGGGGTGAGGATTTACTTCCATCTACACTAGAAAACGTCATGGAAATTATGAGTAGATCTTGGGTGGTCTAATCATGCACTCTGTTCCACAGGTCAGCTCAGTGAAGTACCACACCAAAGCCATCTCCACCTTCCACCAGATCAACGCCTTCGAGGAGGATGGATTCTTGATGCTTGACATGTGCTGCTCAGATGACGGCCAAGCCATCAACAACTATCTCATCCAGAACTTACGCGAGTCAGGAGACGCATTAGATGAGGTCAGAAATGAATTACTCACACACACACAAATTAACACTCTCTGTGTAGTTATTAAAGGACACATCCACCCTCAGATACTATTACACAGTTACATAGATTTGATCATTTAACGTTCCCCACTCGGATTCAGCTTTCTAATGCATCTCTTTTTACTCAGTTTGTCTTGGGTAATAAATAGCTGCTATAAAATGTGTTGCCTTGTGCATAGATTTGTTTATCTAATAATTAATCATATTTTCAAGGGTACTGTTGCTTTTTGCATATCATGTTTTCAGTGTATTTGCACCCAGAGACAAAAAAGACATGCTGTGTGAGATTAATTTATTAAATACACTCATACTGTATTGTTCCTGTACCTCCCAGGTGTACAACACCATGTGCAGGGTTTTCCCCAGGCGCTTTGTTTTGCCCCTTAATGTGACCAGTGAAACACCAATAGACCAGGCCCTAAACACACGGCCCTCCAGCGAAGCGAAGTGTGTCAAAATCAGCAAAGATAAGGTGAGTTGGAAAATGAATTGTACATGATAACCTCTTAAGATTCATTTTCTACAGGAGATCAGAAGAGACTGTGTAAATAACATCAATCTATATTAATTTTAAATGTGGTGGAAGTACTCTTTTCCTTCACTTGAATAGAAGTAACAAAACCATAATGTAAAAAAATGACCCCAGTTGCTGTTGTATAATTGTATAATTATTTTTGAATTGATATTACAGATACACTGATGTGTAAGCAGCATTTCATTGTTGTAGCTGGTCAATCTCCACCTAATGGCTCATGGGGGACAATAATATGTCAAAATGTGGTGCTGACGCATTAAGAGCATAAAAAACATGTAAAGGCACTTTAAAATCAATTCTAAAAGAAACTGGGAATCAGTGCAGAGAAGCTAAGACTGGAGTAACTGTATGTCCTCTGTACTGTGTTTTAGTTAGGGGCATGGAAGTTGAATTCTGGATCAACAATTTTTTTAAGGAGACCCATGAAAAAAGCATTAAAATAGTCAAGTCGGCTATAGAGATAAAGGCATGAATTAGTTTCTCAAAGTAGGCCGTACCCTTGTGATATTCCTAAGACTAAAAGAGAAGTTTTGGTCACCTTGTCTATATGATGTTTAAAATTCAAATCAGGGTCTAACATGACTCCAAGGCTTGTTACCTCTGATTTGACCAGAGCCGTCAGATTACAGAGTTTCTCAAATAGCACATTTCTTTTTTCTTCAGTCTTAAATAACTCACTATTTTGGCATGAACAGTTTCTGTGCTGTTGTTGGCTCAGAAGCCAGACAGAAATTTGTCCAGGACATTATTAACCTGATTATAAAGTACTTTTTAAAGGATTTTTCTGATGAAGAGTAAATTGAATATGGGTCTGTAGTATTTAAGACTTTGGATTCTAGGTTTGATCTCTTCGATAGTGGCTTTACAACAGCTGTTTTGAAGGCATCAGGACTAACTCCAGTCTCCAGAGATGTATGAATAATATGCAAAAGGGAGTTAGTGGTGCATTTCAAAAAAGGCTGTAGGGATGGGAATAATTTTCTGCCAGTTAAAATAGAGAAGTCTGGGAATGTCAGCATGTTTACTTGTCCTCTGCAGGGTTGTATAAAAAGGCCACTTGTGTCCTTCAAAAAGTTACTGTTAAAAATCTGGCAAAAATTATTCCATTTTACAGCATAGGCTTAAGACAGGTTTTAGCAATTCATCTATCATAGGAAACATTTTAGAGTTGCTGCCAGCCTCTGTGATAAAATTCTTCCTTTTCACTTGAGCATCCCAAACTAAAACTGATGCCCAGTGAACGGATGAGCTGGATGACAAAAACTGTTGACAATAAGTAACAATAGACTTCTGATCCTCCCTTTGTCAACAGGTGTTCTGCCAGCATGAGGATCTCCATGGAGATGACCTCCATGAGTACGGCGGCCTGGAGTTCCCTCAGATCAACTACGGCAGATGTAACACACGACCGTATCGTTATTTCTACGGCTGTGGCTTCAGACACCTGGTGGGAGACTCTCTGCTCAAGATGGATCTTAAGGACAAGACCCTCAAGGTGTGTGTGGTTTACGTGTGAGATGTCAATAAAAACAGCTCCTACCACTGTTATTTTGATTTCGAGGATAATAATCCTGAAACAGTATATATATATATTATATATATATATATATATAATTTTTTTTTTTTTTTTTTTGTCAGAATTAGTCAACATCCTCTTGGTCTGCCTTAATGTAACTTCTCTATTTCTGCATTACAATACAACTTGACTTTGACCACATTTAACCAGTATATAAAGGTGTAGTTCAACATTTTAGGAAATAGGCTAAGGCTGCAGTCAACAGCTGGTTGGCTTAGCTTAGCATTAAGAATGCTAGTTAAACAGCTAGTGTTGCTTTGTCCAAAGGTAACAAAATCCACCTAGCAGTGCCTCTAAAGCTCACTAATTAACATTTTATGTGCCAGACTATTTCTTTGTGGGGACAGAGACAAGCTACCCGTTCCCCCATTTCCAGTCTTTATGCTAAGCTAACCAGCTGCTGGCATTAGTTTACCTAAAGACATGAGAGAGGTATTGATCTCAAGTAACTCTTGGCAAGAAAACAGAAATAGCACATTTACCAAAATGTGTGCACAGTGTTACTTAGTTAGAAATAGTAGGTACAAAATACAATTTCCATTTTAAGATCCTTTGTAATGAAGAGACATGACTTGAAGAACTGCACTGATTACTTTTAAAATAAATCAGTAGTAAATGTAAAATGCTGAAGCACTAAGCTGCTATTTGTGAATATGATATCTGGCAGGTCTGGTACCAGAAGGGTTTCTACCCATCAGAGCCTGTGTTCGTGCCGTCACCTGATGCCGTGGAGGAAGATGATGGTGTCATCCTCTCTGTGGTTCTCACCCCCTCACAGGTAAAACTGTTAATTAAAGACTGAAGGATATGCAGGAGGTGTAGGACAGCCCACATGATGTGAAAAGAAAACAATATTTTTTCAAAGGTTTGGCAGTAAAAGTGTTGTTCAGTAATCAATCATTTTGGAGAAATTTTGGAGAAACCAGCCTCTGTGTCTTCTGTTGTGTCTCAGTTAATCTACTTTTGCCTCTGAAATAATCATTTATAATCTGCATATCACTGTGTAACTACTGCAGGTTGTTGTATTGTTGTCTTTGGTGGAGGCTCTCTTGAGTTTTAGTTACCACCATGCAGCTGGCCTGTAAGTTGACCTGAGCTCAGTTCATTGTCTCTTCCAAGTCTTTTATCAACTGGGAACATAATCCATCATAAATATGCATAAGGTGAGATGAGCAGAGTTATAAATATTCATCGATGAATTTACACGAAGTGAAAGTTTCAAATTACACACAGGAAAATAAAACCTTTCTCAAGTGTAGAAGCCTAATGGCAATAAATGTTATTCTGGCCATGTCAGTGGTGCCAGTAACTTGAACAATATCTGGTATAAAGTATACCGAAAGAGGATTACAATACATACTACGTATAGAATTACAGAATTATAGTTTACAAAGATTTGTGTCCATGGGATTTTCATTGGAAATACGAGCAAAAACAAATGCTACTTTGGGTTTATGATTTATGTAAAAACTTTAATAATTTATAACTACAATGTCTGATATTTTACCTCTAATTGAAATCGGAGTTAAATCCTGTTATTTCTACTTTAAGATGCACAGGAGAGAAGAGTTTGAACTGTCTTGAGCTGTTGTTGTGCTCCTTCCTGACACCATTTCTGGCATCTTGAGTCTAAATTGTGCTACGCTATATTATTAATTTCTTTCTTTCTCTTAACTGTGCTGTTGCTGTGAAGCAAATGAGATGCTGAAGGACAATTAAAGCTAAAATTAAACTGTGTCGTGACCAGCAGCAGTTTGATATATTCTGTCAATCAACTGTGGAAGAATTTCAGAGAGTGCAATGTAAATGGAAAGTCTAATCTAACATGGCAAATTAAATTTCCTAAATGGATTTAATTATATATTTATTTATCACTCTCTTTATTTGTCTCACCACTTGTGTCAAACTGTCAACGAAGATACGTTTGGTACTCTGTGGCCTTGTGTGCACATGCATTTCACTTCAACTTCACTTGAAAGCATGATTTCATTGTTGTCAGAGCTGCTCTTCTAAACAAATACACCATGTATCTCTGAAGCACACAGGAGCTGGTTTAGAAGTTGTTCACGTTGGCTTTTAATAATAATTTCACCACATTTGTCTCTCCAGGATAAAGGAACATTCCTCCTGGTTTTGGATGCCAAGACATTTGAAGAGCTGGGAAGAGCCAACGTTCCTGTTAACATACCTTATGGCTTCCATGGTACCTTTAATGCCTCTGCATAAATCTAATTCTGTTTCTGATATATAACATACAAAGAATGCTAAATGCAGTGTTAATCGTACATGCGTTATTGTACTCTCGGCATTCAACCTGTTATATTTAGGTTGAAGGATGTTCCAACTCTCAGACCACCCAAGTGCCAAATGAACATTTTTACCTGTTGTGACAGCGTGACTGGTACTGTTTTCACCTTGTGAGCCTGTGTGCGTGTGTGTATGTGTGTCATCATAGCAAAATGTGGTCCAGACACTTACTGTAGAGGGAACTACCACTGAGCCAGTTTTGGATACTTTGGCAGGTGTTTATGTCTGTCTGTCTGTGGACAGATTGTGTCACCACCATAACTGCAACTGTGAAACATACAGTTGGTACGAGTCGAGTACGAAGATGGGTGTAGTCTGACTACTGAGTACTCATGGGTCAGAACGTCAACATGTTGACGGGCATTGAAGCTGATGTAATCCCATCACAAGATGGTCTCTAGTCTTTTGTACTCTTTTTTTTCTTTAACAGTATTTTTTAAAAGCCGGATGTGTTTTATACAATCTGTTTGCCATTAAACTTTTACTTCTGTGAACTGCCAAGTATTTACATGGTCCATGCATCCTTAATACACATCTCAGGTCATGTTCAAAAATATGCTCAGATATTAAAACAGCTGTTTCATATGCTGATATGATTTTATATATAAAGTTTATAATTAAAATATATCAATGGATAGCAATATGTTATGTTTTGAAGTTCAGGATAGCTTTGGATGGTTTTCCATGCTATTTCTAACACTAATTTATATCAAGTTTTATATTTATATTTTACACTTTTACAAGTGTAAAGCTAAAGTGATCAGCCTCACCATAAATCTTAGCAATTTTCTCAATTATCTAACTCCAGTCTTCCAATCAACACAGAAAAAAAGGTCATAAAATCCAATTTCACCCTATTAGATTTGTCTCACAAAAATGGTCTGTAAATTGTCAGTGCTCAGAGCAGAGCAAATAATTGTGTTTTCATTATGAAGGGTGTCACAGGTTAAGTGTTAAAACACATGCAAGGAATTGTTCTGTTTTACAACATGGGTTTTCCCGCTGTAAGCCTAGAAATGGGCTCTGGAGCAGATCATAAATCAATGTAAATATTATTAACTTTTAATGCTCTCAATGGTCACAGAGAAAAAAACTGCCTGCCAATATAATGTAATGCACACATGGAAACTTCATAGGAACTTAATTTGTCTCATATAAGAGTTTATTATTAAAATCTCCACTAAGTAATTGTATTCTGAGGTTTTGATTTTAAATTTGAGTCCAGTGCTGCACTTGTTTTATTTGACCCCAAGCCAACAAAAACATGCTAAAGCACATGCTAAGTGGCTGTGACTCAGGTTTTTTGTCTGCTGTAAGAAATCCAGACATTTTCCACCAGAGGGCAGCACATGATGCCATTTACTGTGAGCACCTTCAGTCTATAATGAATATGCAGAGTCAGGACCTGAAGTCACTACCTGACCAGAAATTGTTGATAAAAAAATTCCCTGAATGAAATAAATGAATGAATAAAGGACAGAAAGAAAGTCTCTTGCATGTTGTCTTGTATTTGTGTGTGACTGGACAACAGTCAGACGTTTGGGCTTGTGAGCAGCAACAATACATCGTGACCGTGTTGCACTCTGTATTGTAACCCTTGTGAGCAGAAGCTCTCTGCTTTCAGTTGTGTGCTTGTGAATCTTAACGGATTCACTTTCTGGCTCATACAACTGTTTCAACAAAGGAGTGAGGCAGCAGTAACGTCTCTGAAGGAGGCGGGCTCAAAACAACCACATTGGCTATAAGAAGGATCAAACCTGTGACCCTCTGACAATGGGACAGTCTCTAACCGCCAGCCAACCCTGCCTCATCAAAAACATACTGCAAACACTAGAGAAGCCTGACTTTGAATCTCAGACGGGTTATTTCCAAGTCTGTGACCTTAACAACAGCATTTATAGGGCACTTGAAACCGAGTGCCTCCACTGGAAAAAAAACTGAGAAAATACAAGATGCAAGAAAAAAAAAGGAAAAGGAAAAGGAACACCTTGATTCAACAATGAAACAAAAAAATATAAATCAAAACAGTGGATTCAAGCAGAAGACTAACTGCAGCTTGCCATTTCACTTTTTAGGCTGCGTGTGTGGCCACAGAACAGATGTGCATTTCCATAGAGGAGTGAACAAAGGGGAAAAGAAAAAAAACTCTCTGTGTGTTCCTTACAGCCGGTTAAAGCAACAGGAACCAAACTCTTAAAAGGAAACCTCTAAATCTAACAGTTTTTTTCTAGCCAATTTAAGTTTTTAAACTTTTAGGGATACTTTTGGAGTATAGAACATGAATTGGTAATGGTTACAACTCGGACTGCAGATGGTACATTTTGTTAGAACAATGGTGATTTCTAAAAAAAAAAAAAAAATCAAAAAGGATTTCAAGAACAATACAAACATACACTTGTTTTCTCTGTCTGAAACTTTCAAGTACGCATCACCGGCCTTTGAGCGTGCTTTATTCTCTACAGGGAAGCTGCACAATCATTAGTATACTGATATACTCCAACTGAAGGAATGCGGCAGGACAAGACAAAGCAAACCTATCAAAATAATAATATTTCTGATCAGTCAGTCATTTGTTATGATTTTGCATTGAACCACTTCAGTTAGAACATTGAAGATGAATGCACCAGCTGATTCTTTTGTTATTTATTTATTCTGACAGATAAAAGTATCTTCCCTGTAGCAAATTTGGAAGCAAACACATCCCTGTTATTATCAATTCAGAATATGCAGTTTTTTTTATGCCAAATATACCGAGAGATTTGTATTTGTTGTTTAAATTATTTGCTTAATTAATTTTAGCCACCTACAATATAAACATGTACCAGGCAGCAAGTGATGTATGAACAACCATTTTCACATGTACTACTCATCACTGCTTTAATTTTCATATTTAGCACAGGCTCTGTGGAAGCAGTTGTGTTATATCTATTGAAGCAGTCAGCTGTGTCTCGGGTCAGGAATTGGGAATTTTTGGCAGGATGATAGTTTGTGATCAGATGTGGCATAAGAAGCACCACATTTATTTTTAGTTTGTTTCTTGTTAGCGGTATGAATAGTTCTGAAAGCTGCTGTCTGTTTTTGTAAATTCAGGAAAGGTTTGAAGTCAGAAACCATGGAGAACTTCTGTACTGCCACAGGCACCAGTTCCCTGCTAAGACATATTATATTATGGTGAAATTGAATTATACTTTTGATACTGGTACATTTGTTTATACTAGATATAGGCTAACAACAGACAGCAGACCTCCACTCTAAAATGTTCTGCTTTTCAGTTCAGCTTCAATGAAGAGTGGCAGAACAATTTTCTAGCAAAGATAAATAGGGCACTGCAGTTAGTTATTGAGCCTGCACTACTTACTTACTTGTATTCACTTTAACCTAACAGCTGAGCTCCTAGCCTGCGATTATGAACTGTCAGCCACTTGGGGGCACAACACTGACCTATTATCACAATTTTAAAGCTGATAGAGAAAAGTTTTTACACATACTCCAAGCAGACATGGAGCAGCATTAGCATTCATCTAGATTTTGTGTCCACCTGATTAGTCGAAATAAGTCACTCTGGTTTGCTTTCCACAACTTTACCTTTCTGTTGTTCGGTGCTGAGCAGGTAGTGCAAGGTGGGCCTTTGGAGCTTTTCACCAAAAACAGGAAACCACAAACCAAAACGATGAGCTGAAAGACTAAAAATGTAAAAAGAAGTGTATGGGCTCAAATTAAGGTCATAGAGATTTTGAGCCTTTAAAGTGATGTTCACAAATCTGTTTGTAGATGTAACTTATCTTTTATAAACCTGTAAAATAATCCAGAAATTCAAATTTGTATGTACACTTTGAACATGTGTAGAAAAGATTTGCAAAAAAAAAAAAAAAATACAGTGAACAAATAATAATACAAATCTTTTCTTCATGTGCATTTCTCATGCAGCTGTATTTAACTGGTTTACAAAAGTTAATTTACAACTACAAGCTTTGGAATTACTCGGAACATCACTTTAAGTTATTGTGGGTTTGTCACTACCAGACACATCTTTCACATTGCACATAGTCAATAGATCCATTGTTAATGAAAATATTGATTAGAGCAGCTTTAACTATTAGACACAAAGGTGCTATCCAGTGCAGTAGGTCACCATTATCATTAGCACAGAGTCAGCTCAGTCTATATTAAATCAGAAAATGAGACATTAAAGAAAACATAAATTTAACATACCTTACAGGAAATATTAATTCTCTACCAGGGGTCATAAACCAGCAGTGCCACCATGTGCCAAATCTGGCATTCCACCAAAATTATTTACCCTCCTAATCTAATTTGATATTTTCCCTCATTGAGCTGATATACATGAAACCTTAATTGTCCCTGCACACCCACACAGGTGTTTTCAATTATACTGGCTTGATTGGACATCTGCTCAGGTTGACAGAAGGTGGAGCTAAGACAAGAATAATGTGAGCCCCTCTCCCCAAAGCTAATTACTAAAACAAAAATGAAGTATTAAATAAAATTCAAAATGAAAATACAAATGCATTAGAGTGACAAGAGCTGTGACATGCACAGAATTGCACAAAAGTTAATTCACTTTTCAAGTAAAGGCGCAGACTCCTCACAGTTGCAAGGAAACAAACAGGGGAGTGAGGGACGTATCAGTGAAGTAGTCTGCACACACCCACACAGTCCTGATGAGAGGTCTAATGAGTGAAAGTGAAAACACCTGTGTGGCTGACTGTAACATGGCGGTGTGGAAAATCTACTGTGCGGACAGTAATCGAAACATAAAGCACATTTAAACGGGGAAATAATCAACTTAATTTATAGCATGCAAAAGCATACTGTGCCTCAGTCTGCACCAGGCTAGTTAATAGCAGAGACGACAGTAAGTCCACACAATAATTTAAGCAGGAGTGATTGTGTTTCACAGACAGAAATTAAGACACAATTATATTGCAGCAGTTTCCTTGTACAAATGATGTACTGCCCTGGCATTGGTCAGTAGGGTAAGATAAACACACAATTGTAATTCATTGAAATTGTCCTTTTTAGACAGACCCAACTTGCTCATTTGGGTGCCCCAGAAGCTTAATATATGCCATGATTTGTTTTAGTCTTGAACCTCTGGAATAAAGTCTGCACATCAAATGTTAAGATAAAACAAAAAAACTTCTACATCTACTGACTACTATCGGCATATGATAGCATTTACTGTTGCCTGCTTAACCTGAGGCCTAATGATTTAAATAGAAGACATTTAGGCATGTCAGAGTAGAAACAGCACAGGTCTAAATAATAAAAATGAATGATGGCTGAATTCCAATTAGCTGCTCTGGTTTCAGGGTCCTGGTATTGTGCATGTTGGTTCACTGTGACACTATCAGAGGTCAGGTACATTACAGCAGCTAAGGTCTATGGTGGAATATACAGCAATACAGTGAATCTATGTCAAAAGAATAGCACTAAAAAAAAATGTTTGCCGATTGCCCAAACTGATTGTATACCTCTCATATTAAAGAAATAGTTTGATATTTGGGAAAATACACTTATTTGCTCCTTTTCCACGTTAGATGTTGTTTTTGCATTTCTTTTTGTTCTTTATGCTAAGCTAGGCTAATCAACTCCTAGCTATAGGTCAGTAGGTAGCAGACAAATATGAGACTGGTATCGATCTTCTCATTTAAGCCCCAACAAAACAGTGAATAAAGGTATTTCCTTATTTTTGTAAACCAAACTGAGGTGAATCGTGACTGTACTGTTGACCAGCTTGCAGATACTAGCTAGCTACACTGAAGGTATTTTTCACATCTGACAGGTGAGATGTTTACCCCTGTTTTTCCAGTCTTTGAACTAAGCAAGGCCAAACTAGTCCTGGACTTCATCTCTTCAGTGAACAAGACGTGATGGAACTGATGTCAATCTTCTCTGACAGCAGGTAAAATGGAAAACAACAAACAGCAAATCTTTAAAGATACAGAGAAGTTTGACTCACTGTGGCAAAGCTGTCGGACACGAAGTATATCAAAAATCTCTGACAGATTTGTTGTAAGATCCGCAGCATGTTAACAACTACAGTGTGTACAGCATGTTTTAAATATAATGCAGCACACGAGTCCTCTTTGAAGTAACATCAGACTACTAAAGCTGAGTCAAGTTTTTAGCTTCTGTTTCTCTTTTGTGCGCTGCATTCTCGTGATAATCATGTACATGTGAGGAATCCTATTTCCTATTTCCACTCTACACTAGTCTGTTTTGAGTTAGTTCACTACTACAGTGCGAGAGCTGCTTATGTGTGTATGTAAGCCTTCTTCAGAATCGAGAGCATCGTTTGACCTCAAAGTACTGTGTGTGATATGTCCCCTGGCATGCATACTGTATAGACTTACATACACATACAGTATCCACACTCTAACTCCCTGCTGCAGTCTTTTCGATTCATCTAGCCCGATTCACGTTAACCCATAAAACATGTCTGACAT